GATGGCCGATCTGTGTCAGCTGCTGCTTTTGAAGCCTTACATGGTCTTGTGCGTCCCTTGGGAGGTAAGGTAAACAGGACGACGCGTGTTCCAGAAATATCCTTGAATTTGAGACTGGAGTCTGTCTCTCACACGTTTACCTTATCGTGTTTAGGTTATGGCGACTCGTGAGCTGTCAGACTTGCCCCCGTCTCGATGTGTGTATATGACGCTGCCTTACTGGCGCGTATGTTTCAGGGCTTCTTGTTTGGGAAGACGCCGTGGCTCATTTTAATTTGCATCCCACACAGATAAATAACCGGAACGTAGAGGAATGGACCTCAGAAACAAATGCTTTGAAATTGCTCCTAGGTATTTGATGGAGCCCCGATTATTCGCTCTTGCTGACTTTCATTTCGTTCTCCACGTGTGTGGCATCCACGGTCTGTTCACGCCTCGTACGCCTAATAGACTTCGCGTTGTCTCGTGTTAAAATGTTTCGCGAACGGCATGGACAGACTTGACATGGACTTGAATGGAGTATTTACCTTTAAAGTGCGCGGAAAAAGTGACTCATAGTAGAATTCCGCTGATTGTGTGCTTTATCCGCGACCTGGCCCTGGGTTTTGTATCGGCCAAAGTTTGTCAGGCATTTACTTACTGCTGTAGGCCGCCGCCGATTGAAGACTGCTGTTTGCGAAGCGTGTGACCGGTCAGAGCCCATCCTGACTCCGTCCAATACCGGGCAGGGGGTCGTTCTCCCTTCATCCGAAATAACCCCCCGCGGTCGTCATGGACCCTTGCCTTGAGGTTCGTTTCGGAGTCGGGGCCGTGCCTCGTATTTTCCATCGGTGAACTTCGGTATGTGAGGATTCATGTCGGTGCAGTACAATCGCGCAAGAGTGGACGAACATGCCAAATCTAATCGTTCTAGCAATTTACCATGTGCGTCTTTCTTTTGTGTGCGACGAGCCACCCCCTTTCCCCTCCGGACACACACACACACACACACACACACACAGAGCTACAAGCTGTCTGTCTGTCTGTACTAGTACGCTGTTTCTGCGCTGTTAACTTGGCACTCTTGAGCCTACGGTTTAGCCTGAATGCTGCCTTTGGTGCTAGAAATCACGGTTTGCTACGCCCAGCTCTGATAAAATGTTTCTTCTGCGTTTAGCCTCGGATTGGGTAGTCTGTTTGCGGGATCCCTTGGCGCGTGCTCCAAGTTCCAAATCCCAAGAAGTGTGATAGAGCTAATTCCTATCTCCGGACCTAGCTCTATTTAGTGGGCCCAACTGTGTAGGAACCTGAAGACGGAGATAGAGTCCCATCTCCGAAACGTCGTTTTACGTTTTATATTTACTAGACGATGGATAATATCCAAATAAATTTTTATTCAAGTGTTGATGTGTTACGGATGTCTGCACGGGTCGAAATCGGATAATGTTACATGGCCCGACCCGAGGACAATTTGTCCCGAGCCCGAAGTTTGTATCCAAATGTTATCCGTACCCCACTCACGCTCGACTGTCCTTTATTCCGGCCCGAATGAAACCCGATCAATTTACTGTCTGCCCCGTTTCCCATTTATACAAGTTTTGATGAACAAATGCCAGTAATTTTGAATGAATTATTTATCGTCGCTCTAAATATCTTAGGCTATTTTATATTTTAGCGTTTTGTAAGGCAAGATCTCGAACTATTTCTGGGCGGGGGCAGCTACGAAAATCCCTGAGAATATCAATTTTTTTTCTTCCCCTCCCGGAGCACGACTGTGTCAGGAAGCATACGATGAACGCAACTGCGAAGAAAAGATTGCCGGAGAAATAACTTCCGGTTGCCATCATCAGAATCAGGCCCGGAACCGATGAGATCTTTTGAGCAGTGGCCAGGAATTATATTACATGTTGACGGTTTCCACCAAACACAGCAGCGTCTCGCTGTCTCGCGCTGCGGATTATTTGTCGTCAGATTTACCGTTTCGTACAAAGATGCATTCGGCCTGCATAAAGCCGGGAATTTCGTTTCTTGCCTTCGTGGAGTTATCAGGTAGGCAGGCCGGCCAGCCAGCTTCCCGCCCCAGCCGCTTTGCCCCTTGGAAAGAGTAGTTCCTCATTCCACGTTTCCAAAGATCTGCGATGTTTGCGACGGGAGGGTGAACCAGAGTTGTGCTTGTCTGTTGCAAGAGCGTTGACTCCCCCCTGATGGCTGCTTCCTGCAGTGAAGTAGTGTCTGCCGCACAGCTGCCCGGCGTCACGTGACTCATTCACTGCCTCAGGCGTGGGATGTCGTACCCGGTCTGTGTCATGCTGATTTCTTGGTCGCTTTGTTTGTTTGTTTGTTTTATTTCGCTCCGGTTGGATCACCTGCCGATTCATCATGCCTGTGTAGTTACTGGGCAAACGTATGTTGCATGTGACTTGCCCTCTGTTAGATATGCCTGCAGTTAATTTTCCTAGGGGTAAATGAATACAACCTTCTTCTAGTAACACTTCGGAGGGCCAGCGGACGTACCACGACGATTTTCGCTGTACTGAGATGCATACACAAACTGTTAACGCGCCCGTTCATGAAAACACGTTCAGTATCTGTGAAGGTTGAAGTAAGACTGACATCTGTGGGCGCGAGCTCTTACGTTACTTACATCAGCATGTTCCTTCGGTTATTTGCTGTCCATAACACCTTTGAAATGAAATTGGTTAACAGTAATTAACAGAAACGTTTGGTTGCTAAGGGCCGTGCCCATATTATTAGTGCATTGTTTGTGTGATGTGTCACGTGACGCTGAAGCGTGTGTTACAAGTTCAGGAGGGCAGTGTGTCATTGTGCCTGCTTGACAGTGCGCTCCGTGCGCCCACACACACACATAAATTTCGTACATGTATACATGCACGCACATGCGCACAGAGTCGTCAGCGCAGGGGTCGCTGAGCCAGTCAGCACCCTTTCAAGGCAGAAAAACATGTTAAGCAGTGAGATCAGTGTTCGTCTTGGGTAGTATTGGCACTCTGTCATGCAGTACGGAATATTTTTTATTTATTATTTGTTTAGTGGTAACAGGATATATGTGTGGAAAGCCTATTTAAGAAAAAAATTTACCTCTTCCTTGCGCACAACGGAAAAGGGTAGAAGACCTCATGAGATAACGAAAATGTGAAAGGAAGAATTTTCTAGGTGGAATTCATCCTGAGATAATCATGACGAGAAGGAATCGTCAAAAGTGGGCAGGCGGATGACAGGTTGCAAAGAAATCAGCGATGACACATAGGGGCACTGCAGCATGAAACCTTGCTGTCAAGTTTTCCGTGTCAGTCGTCGGATTCCTGTAAACATTTCCGTTCAGTTTCCTCAAAGGATGAGATCTGGAGGGATCGGGGTCCGGCTATCTCGCAGGCCATGTGACAGGTCCGCCAAGCCCTAGCCACGTGTCACTGAGTTGGGTGTGCCGGCGCCCCGTTATGATGAAACCGCGCGTCAATTCGAACCGCCAGTGGCACATCCTCGGGCAGCACCGGTGGAACTTCCTGTAGGAACACGAGGAAAGCAGCATCGAGGCGCCCGGGGTCTTGCGTATTTCGCAGCCACACGCGCGTTTGCCAGTGATCCCGGCCCACGAATGTATGCTCCAGCTTACGTGATGGCCCTCAGTCGCATGGGAATTATGCTGTGCCCACAAGTGGCGCTGGGGAAAGGTTTATCTGTTGACGCGGCCATCTCCTGTCTGACGTTAGGAGTCAGTCTATTGGCCACACTCAATCTCTACCCCTTTCCGTCCTGTTTGGCGAATTCCTTCAGACCAGTTGCCGTACCCCGAGTCTGAAAAAGTTATGGCGTCTCGTACGCAGGAACGGTGTGACCAACCAAGGGACGATGTCTTTCTCATTTTACACGTCTGTACTATTTCTGAGATCTCTTTTAGTTACTGTAATAAAGTTCTGTTACTCATTGTATTTGTAAGATGACACTCACAGCTGTAAGAAGGAATCGATTTCTTCTATTTCAGCTGCAAAGTAAGCGTGAGCTGTTTTTCAAGAATGAGCTCCCACCACCCACGTCAGCAGCAGCAGCAGTAGCAGCAGCAGCTGGTGGTGG